CCTCCTGGGCTCCGGAGATCCTTCCGCCTCAGCTTTCCGTGTAGCCGGAACTACAGATGTGCACTACCATGCCTGGCTATTTTTTATTTTTACTGTAGAGACTAAGCCTCGCCAGGTTGCCTGAGCTGGTCTCGAACCTGCAGGCTCTGGCAATTCACTTGCCTTAGCCTCCCAAAGTGCTGGGATTACAGGCTGAGCCACTGAGCCTGGCCTTTTTTTTTTTTTTTGAGTTGGGGTCTCACTCTTGTCTCCCAGGAGTGCAGTGGCACGTTCACAGCCACCACAGCCTTGACCTCAGGTGATCCTTCTGCTTCAGCCTTCAAGTAGCTGGAACTACAGCTGCACACCACCACGCCTGGCTAGTTTTTGTGATTTATTGTAAAGACGAGGTCTCACCAAGTTGCCCAGGTTGGTCTCAAACCCCTGGGCTCAGGCAATCCTCTCACCTCGGCCTCCCAAAGTGCTGGGATTACAGGCCAAGCCATCATAACTGGCCGAGTCCCCTTATTAAGTAGCAGTTATCGTTGCCTGATCTGAGAAATAGTAAGACAACAGCTTCAGCAGAGGAGAATAGATATTGATAGGAAACAGGAATGAAAGGTTATTAGGAATTATTTCAGCCATTTCCTTTTTCTAGAAGTAGATAAAATAACATGCCTGTTCAAAGAATTATCTAAGCCTGTCTCATTGTCCTTAAGAAACCATGGAAAACAGATGTGTACTCTTTTATTTCAAATTTCATTATCCACAGTAAGTAGATTTCCACTGAATCCTTGAGATTTCCTAGATGGTAATTTTCACTCTGCAAGCAACCAATAACCTTCAGAGGAACTATTTTAAAAAAACTATAGCACAGGAGGCACTGAATTTCAATCAATCATATATTTAATGAGTTCCTTCTCAGCAAGACAATATTTTTGAATAGGAAGGAATAAAATTAAGTTGATGGGTGGTCCCTGCCCTCCTGTAGTTTATAATCTACTTGGACAAAGCAGCGAGGCATATCATTCAATCATTCAAACGAAAATTCCCAATGAACCAGGTTCAGCGAAGGCTGAAATGAGATCTTGCTAGGTGGTAAGAGAATGTGATTGAAGGGGGCAGGAGGTGTTTGGAAGGAAGACCTCAGGCAGGAATCGCAAGGCATCATTGGGAGACACTGACTACATAAGTTTGGCCTATCAAAGTAGTGAAGAAAGAGAATGTTGAAAAGTTCCTTTGGGTTCTGATGGAGGGTCTTGCAAATATAGCTTGATAGGGAATTTTTATGGCTATATTTTAAAATAATTTTTAAAGGAAAAATTCCTAAGTAATTCCTATGCCAATCTCTATTCTCTACTCTCTACTAAATATTTTGTTATATAACTTGGCATCTTACGTAAGTGTCCTCACTATTAGTTGGAAGATCTGTGACTTCCTCTAACTCTATTGACTAAAAGGTCTTGATACTTTTGCAAAGAATTTCCAGCTCTTCCCTTTTGCTCATAAAGGTGGCCTCAAGTGCCCAACCCCTGGGTGATTACAAATGCAAAAGTGTTAAAAATAGTGCTCATACTCTAAGGAATCAGCTGCCAAATGCTCTCTAATAAGCAGAAATTTCACATAACTCAGGCCTCTGGGGGCTCACGCCTCAGCTGGAGCAAAGCCAGAAATATCTGTGACTGCAGGTGCACTTGGGCACATTGGGGCCTGCCAGAACAGCAAGCAGGCCTCACTGTAGTTGATTTAGGAGAGGGCTGGAGGGTTGAGCTTTTGCTGACATTTGCAGCTTGGAAAATCCTGTTCCACTAATTGCAAAGAGGATTCTTCTGTAATGATTTTTTTTTTCTTTGTATGATACTTTTCTCATTTTATTTTATTTATTTTTTATTTGTTTATTTTTATTTTTTGAGTTGGAGTCTCACTCTGTCGCCCAGACTGGAGTGCAGTGGCCGCTCCCGGCCACCACAGCCTCGACCTGCTGGGCTCCGGCGATCCTTCCACCTCAGCCTTCCCAGTAGCTGGAACTACAGGTGCGCGCTACCACGCCTGGCTCATTTTTTAAAAATTTATTGTAGAGATGAGGTCTTGCCAAGTTGCCCAGGCGGGTCTCAAACCGCGGGCTCATGCATTCCGCTCACCTCAGCCTCCCAAAGGCGCGGGATTACATGCTGAGCCACTGAGCCTGGCTACTTTTCTCATTTTAAATTCTTCATTTGGGCTCTGGATACTTCCCAGCCTCTATTTTTATTGTTTTAACTCCTGGTACAGGAGAAGTTTCTGCCTGCACTTGAACATGCATTCAGAGTGGTGCATGGCCATGGTTTACGAGCCTCAACGTGTACTTCATGAGCAAGCAAGTATATAGCCCCTTTTACAGGAACTGCTGCACACTCCCTCTGCTAGCCCCAGTCCTTGCCCATATGAAAACATGGCGATTTTCTTTACTACTGAAGGAAAATCAGAGGACACTTTGACCTCATGATTTTGCTGAGTGCTTGCTTTCTTAGCAGTGTGGTTCCTGGACCTCATTTTTGAAGTCTGAGTTGTATAGATGAAAAAGGCACTGGATCAAGAGGCTGGGAGGCCTGAGTTGTCCCTGCTTGTAGACTTTGGGCCACAGTCTTTGACTCTCTGGCCCTTAGTTTCCTCAGCTCTTCCAGATCCTGAAGCTGGAAGAGGTGGGTGGATTGCATCATCATGTCTTTGGATAAAAACCACTGCAGGCTCTGCAGTGTGCACAGAGGTCCACATGGGACCTCTCTGCAAATTGGATAAACATCATAGGATCCAGCTGGGTTCGGTGGCTCAGCCTGTAATCCCACGCCTTTGGGAGGCTGAGGTGAGTGGATTGCCTGAGCCTGCGGGTTCGAGACCCGCCTGGGCAGCGAGACCTCATCTCTACAATAAATCAAAAAATCAGCTGGGCGTGATGGCGCATGCCTGTAATTCTGGCTACTCGGAAGGCTGAGGCGGAAGAATCGCTGGAGCCCAGCAGGTAGAGGCTGCGGTGACCGGGAGTGGCCACTGCACTCCAGTCTGGGCGACAGAGTGAAACTCCAACTCAAACAAACAAACAAACAGAAAAACCATAGGATCCAAAAAATACCTTAGAGACCAAATTTTGCATACAATTTCTGGGGATGCCGGCCCACACTTGCCCCAACAAAAGGCCATGTCCTCTAGGCTAAGAAAGTCAGATCCACCAAGTCAAGTCCAAACTTTGTGATATTTTATTATTATAATATGTAGCTTTTCACACACACACATCCTGCCACTTCTACTGACCCTATGCTCTGTTCACAGTGGAATTCTGGTAAATGATCATTTGTGATGGTTAATTTAATATGTCGACTTGTGCTAACCAGATGCCCAGATAATAGTAAAACATTAATTTCTGAGTATCTGTGTGGGTGCTTCTGGAAGAGATTAGCATTTCAATGGTAAAATGAGTAAAGAAGATCCACCTATGTGGGCAGGCATTATTTGATCAGTTGAGGGCCTGAATAGAAGACAGGCAGAGGAAGGGCAAATTTACTCTCTGCTTGACCTGGAACATGCATCTTGTCCTCAAACTTTGGTGCTCCTGGTTCTCAGGTGTTGGCACTAAGAAGTTTTTCACCATCACTCCCACTCCCACTCTCAATCTCTTCTCAGGTTTTGTCTCAGACTTACACCATTGGCTCTCCTGCTTCTCAGGTCTTTGAGCTTGGATTGGAAGTACACCACCAACTTTTCTGGGGCTCCAGTTTGTAGATGGCAGATTGTGGTTCTTTCCAGAGTCTATAATCTCGTGGCTAATCTCTCATAATAAATTTATTTATCTACATGTAGCCTATTGGTCTGTTTCTCTGAAGAACCCTAAGACACCATCATTCTGCAATTATCTCTGAGGCTGGCCAATTGTGGGCGCAGGGCTTAAGAAGACATGGTCTCCTTTTAAATTACAGGCCAATAAACAGGAGATTACAAAAACAGTAACAAAAACTTAGATTCATGCTGCTGGACCTTTTGCTTATGCTGTTTCCTCTGCTTGAGCTGTTCACCCTCCATTGTCACCTCTGTGAAGCTGGCTGCGGGTCCAATCAACTATTCCTTTTATGCTGCTCTAGGGGCGTTTTCTCTGTGTCACTTAACCACATACTATTACACCTAGTTGGCTGGTTCTGCATTTTGCCTCCCCACTAAGCCACAAGCTCTCAGCTGTTGTACATGTTATTCAGCTTCTTTCCAGAGCCTCAAAAGGAGCCAGGGCACACCACTGAGCGCTCAGTGCGATTCAGAACCAACCTATCAACGCAAGAATGAACATACCAGTCCTGCAGGCTGGCACTGTGCTTCTCCAAGCTGATCTTCCGTGCCCGGGCAGCTCCCGTGAGTTGCATGGCAGGTAGAGGTCAGGAGTTTTTTGTGGGTACGTGAAATGTGGCCCTACCGCACTCGGGCCGCTGCGTCCGCTGAGCTGCCGGGGCCCGGCCAACTTCTTAACCTCCCGGAAGCGCCTCCGCCGGCCTCTGCCCGCCCCCTCCGGAAAGTGGGCGCGTCTCCTCATGAATAATGAATCGCCGACGGGGAGGGGCCAGGTCCGGCCCCTCCGGCGGGAAGGGGGAAGCGCCGCGGCTGCCTGACTGGAATGAGGGTGGCTACGGCGACTGCTGCGGCAGGAGCGGGGCCGGCCATGGCGGTGTGGACGCGGGCCACCAAAGCGGGACTGGTGGAGCTGCTTCTGAGGGAGCGCTGGGTCCGGGTGGTGGCCGAGCTGAGCGGGGAGAGCCTGAGCCTGACGGGTGACGCCGCAGTGGCCGAGCCCGAG